GCTAGAAGCTTCTAACCCCTCCTCCCCAATAACACCGACTAACTACCTCGTGCAACAAGATGGCGCTGGAAACCGTGGGAGACCCTCATGGTTCCAGTGACATCACCCTTAGTAGGCAGAGCGTTAAGAAGACCACTTAACACCTAACCAATTATTGATGTATTATTCCATGTTATCTCTGACAATGCTTATGATGTAATTCTGCTTTAAAAGGGACCTGCCGTCCCCTCTGAATAAACTTTCCTCAAGTTATTCAACAACCTGGAACCTGTGTCTGGTGTGAATTACTTCAGGGAGCGTGCACGCATTGTTTTATTAATTTGGCCAGGGGCAGATACACAAAGAATAATCAATTTATTGATTGATTTTTCCATTTCATATACAATGTGTATTGTGAATATTTTCAACGATTGGAAGTAAGAATCTAGTGTCTGACCTGCTATAAATACAGATGAACATCTGTTAACCTTCTGTTAAATCCACACTACACATGATCACCTATTTAAGCAATTGGCGTTGTGCGTTTTATCCACTAAAAACCGAATTGTTATGCAGTAGAAATATATATATAGTAAAAATTTGACTGTAGCTGAATTTGGAGAATTTTTTCAAAAATCTGCACTTTTTACCAAATTTTTGCAACTTATGAGGTTAGTCACTTGTGAGAAGTGAGAAACGAACGTGAATTTTAAATTTAAAAATCACTATTCATAACACTGTATCGCTGGAGTAGCAGGTTCCCCTCAGAACGGAGTTAAAAGATTTTAAACTGACCTTTTCTCCATCACTGCGCTGGTCTTGCCGTAGCTCGGTCTGCCTGCACGGCTGAGGTCATCAATCTTGATGATCTCAGCCAATATTGGGAGGCAATTGAGCATGCATGGAAAAAGGTGCACCGCGTAGAGATGCAATGAAATAATGCATTTCTATGTGTCTCCATACACTGTGCAGCACTGACACAGGAAGCACCTCTAGTGGTGGTCTGAGTGACTGCACCTAGAGATGTTACTAGGGCCTAGTATCTAAGCAGTAATGTAAACACTGCTTTTTCTCTGAAAAGGCAACATTTACTGTGAAACGCCTGCATGGACATCAGTACCACTACATGAAGTGACTACAGTGTCCCTTTAAGGTGAAATTTATATAGCGGAACTGGAAAAATTCTCTAAGACAGTTATGCTTCAAGTTCAGCTATTTGGACCATAAATTTGCAATTAACTTTGAATTCTAAATGTAATGAATAGCCCTGTTTGTGAGTTTTCAGTTGCAGCAAAATGTGGTATTTAGTGAAAAAAATCACTCTGAATAAAGTAATAAAATAAAGTTCTGCATTTTGGTTTTGGAGGAACTTCTGAAATCTACTGCCACTAACCCACAGACTTGGCTGACATCTGGCGAGCAATTAGCCACATTCCCCTGTTAAAGGGGTGTGTTTTTTGCGTTTGTATGTCCTGAAAACACAATATAATGAGACTAACAAATATTTATTTGTTATATCATACATGCCCTATCACATGTTTATTTGGTTTAATAATGTTTCTCTTTGTTACGGAATGTGGTTTACTCAGCCATTCATTGTACAGCGCTATGGAACTTGTTGGCACTTTATTAATAATAATAAAAATAATAATTCAGGCTACAATTTTTTACTGTGTCATTATATATCAACCTTGGTGCCATTGCAAAACCTCAATAAAATAATTAATAAATAGATAAAATAAATGCCAACTTTTTACTATTATTTTTTTTTCAATATAATTTTTATTAGGATTTTGTTTCATCGTTTACAAGGAAATGAACAGTGGATGATATAGGGCATCACATGTATACAAATGGCTTTGAGTGCATAGGTAACAATAAGTATAACATATAGTAAGGTAACATGTAGTTGTATACAAGAGTTCCTATACATCGTTTGGTAGTATGAAGCAGTATACACAGTTGAAATATCGTTTAACACACTCATTGTGCTTTTGGTACATTATAGTTATGTGTCTGTCTGTCTGTTACACAGCTCTTACTGGTTGATGTCGTGTAAAGTTACCCAGGGGGCCCAGGTTGTGTGGTATATTTGTGCTGTTTTTGCGTCTCGGGCGGTCATACGTTCGTATGTGTAGTATTGTTGTATTTTGTCCCATAGTTGGGCTTTGTTTGGGCAGAATGTGGATTTCCAATTGCAGGCTATCAAGTTACGAGCCGCCAAAATGATGATTGCACTCAGTTGTTTGTGTGCATATTCGAATAATGGGGGGAATCGCATAAGTAGGTATATTTCAGGGGTATTCCTGGTGTATGGAACTTTGAGGGCACGTAATGTGTTTTGTACCTCTACCCGGATGGGTTGGATGTTAGGGCATGACCACTATATGTGCGTGCCCTTCTCTGCTGAGCATCTCCAGCAGAGGGTAGACGTATTAGGATATATTTTGTGGAGATTGTATGGAGTTAAATGCCATCTGTACAGCAATTTTCTGTGTGCTTCTATATGGGTGTAGCATTTAGTTCATTTAGATATGTCATTCAGTGCGTGGATCCATTCTTCGTCTGTGAGTTGGATAGCGCATTCTGCTTCCCACATTGTTTTGCAGTGCGGTGTAGTGTTGGTTAGGGTATTTTCCCAGGCCTTATAGCATAGGGAAATATTTTTCTTTTTCATAGGGCTTTTCCAGCATCTTTCCACTATCGCCTTTGCTGGAGAGGGGCTTGAGCTAAGGTTTTGTTGTTGTCTGTTTACGTGTGGTGATGATCCCTTTTAGTTGTAGGTATGTGAAAATAGTGTTTGCTGGTAATTCCCATTTCTGTTGTATGTCTGTGAAGGCCATTACCCCTTGAGAGTGTAATAGTTGGTGAATGTGCGTAATACCTGCGTGTAACCATGTCTGGCGATATGGCTCTTAGTGCGGTTAGTGGTGCGTTGGGATGAAATGTTTCTTTGGCTCCTAATGTATCTAGGAATGTTGACCAAATTTGGACGGTCAGTGTCGTGGTTGGTAATAGGTTCCGTTTGTTTGGCCTATGTTTCCTCGGCGTCCATAGGAAGTCAAGCGTCGCATTTCTGTCAAATTATGCTCTTTCTATGTCCACCCTTTAAATATTACCCTTTTCTGTGTGTATCAGTATGCCTGATCTCAGTATTGTGGCTTTGTAATACTGGCCTATATTGGGTAACCCCACTCCGCCATTTTTTGGGTGTTTGTAGCGTAAGGTGCGGGATATGTGTGTTTTTTTTGTTTCCCCATATGAATGAGCTGCAGATGTTTTGTAGGTATTTGAGGAGTGTTTGTGGGAACTTTTTACTATTATTAACTAGAATTGAGATAAATTCCATTACTTTTTCTGATATTGCATGAGGATCACAATGTGGCGTTCTTTTTTTTATTATTAATTTGAATTAAATTCCAGTCTTGCACAGTATTGCATTTACTTTACAAATTCCCACTATTCCATAGGTGTGGCACAAGGCAGCATGATGGCAGAAGAATATTGTGTATGTGGCCGTGCCGATAACCTTGCTGTGCCATGAGAGTAAATGGGGAGATTTATCAAAGTTTCCTGATCTGGGGAGCGGTGCAAGTTGTGTAAGTGATGAAATCACCAGTGGAATGTTCCATTTGGTCTCCATGGTGATTGCACTATTTTTTAGAATTTTGCACCACTTTGGAGATAACTTTAATAACTCTCCGTAATTATGGTTTCTAGCGTTTAATGGGTGAATTAAAACGGGATTGTCACCATAAAATGTTACAATTCCTCGTGTGTAATGTGACCATATACAGAGTGCACTAGTTCAAACTACAGAAGCTATAGTTCAAACTATAGAAGCCGCAAATTATTTAGACATCTTGTGGTGGAAAAAGTCCCTGTATTCATAGGTGTGCGCATGGGGTGTGCCGGGTGTGCCTGGGCACACCCTAATCTAAGGTGCCCACGTGTCCCGGATCACCCTGGACAGTCCCGCACTTTGTGGGTCTGTTCCGGGCACCTTTATTTTGGGACAATGTAATGTCCCGGGATGAGCTGGGCCCCATATTAAGGCCGCAGGCCCCCATTTGCTGCCCACCGGTGTAGATGTGCGAGCGGCAACCCTCCCTCTCAGAGCTGCGAGGAAGTGAGGTCACACGTGATGATGTCACTTCCTCCCAGCGCTATTTGCAGATAGCCAAACGTGGGATGAAAGACGTGGGAGGAAAGAGAGAGGAGCTTCCAGGACCAGGTAAGTGCATGGACTACTAGTCATTCCATGATAAAGATTTTACCCCCCGTCCTCTAAGTGAGCCAGTAGAGGGGGGGTGGACATGAAATGGGAGAATAGACATGAAATGGGGGCGGGGGATATGAAATATGGGGGCGTATGAAATATAGGGGGATATGAAATATGGGGGAATGGACATGAAATATAGGGGGGTATGAAATATGGGGGAATGGACATGAACTATGGGGGAATGGACATGAAATATAGGGGGGTATGAAATATGGGGGAATGGACATGAACTATGGGGGAATGGACATGAAATATAGGGGGGTATGAAATGTGGGGGACATGAAATATGGGGAAATGGACATGGTATAGGGGGATATGAAATATGGGGGGTACATGAAATATGGGGAATGGACATAAAATATAGGGGATATGAAATATGGGGGAATGGACATGAAATATGGGGGGTATGAAATGTGGGGGCACTTTTCTCTTTTTACACTACTTTGTACCCTATTACCGGGGTATATTGTTGGTGCTGCATATTTACCAATTGCTTGTATAAAGTGTTTTTTGCGCCAATTTATCTGCTTGGTATACTGTGTTTTTATTATTAGATTGCCCCCTATGAGGGCACTATAAACATGGCACACTAGGTGCCCACTGCCCTGTGCACAGAGCTCTCCCCCTCCTGCAATGGTTACACTCTGGCCTCAGAGAGCTGCACCAATCCAGCTGTGCACCAGAGAGTGATGTGGGGCAGGCTGGCTGTGTGATTGGTGAGCTGGCTGTGTGTGTCACACGAGGGGTGTGAGCTGAGGAATGGGAGGGGAACAGCCCAGATCACACAACATTCTGCTTGCACAAAGGATCTGCATGGAGGCTGCAAGATAAGCACATACATACAGGTAACACAGGGCTCTGGGTGCCTGATCCACAGAGCTGACAATCTACTTATGTACACGGAGCCTGCCCCTGCAAGACGAGCACACACATACAGGTAAACAGGGTTCTGGGTGCCTGATCCACAGAGCTGACAATCTATTTCTGTACACGAAGCCTGCCCCTGCAAGATAGGCACACACATACAGGTAATACAGAGCTCTGATCCACAGAGCTGACCATCTATTTCTGTACACGGAGCCTGTCCCTACAAGATAAGCACACACATACAGGTAACACAGAGCTTTGATCCACAGAGCTGACAATCTATTTCTGTACACGAAGCCTGCCCCTGCAAGATAGGCACACACATACAGGTAATACAGAGCTCTGATCCACAGAGCTGACCATCTATTTCTGTACACGGAGCCTGTCCCTACAAGATAAGCACACACATACAGGTAACACAGAGCTTTGATCCACAGAGCTGACAATCTATTTCTGTACACGGAGCCTGCCCCTGCAAGATAAGCACATACATACAGGTAACACAGGGCTCTGAGTGCCTGATCCACCGAGCTGACAATCTATTTCTGTAAACGGAGCCTCCCACTACAAGACAAGCACACACATAAGGGTAATACAGAGCTCTGATCCATAGGGCTGACAATCTGTTTCTGTACACTGAGCCTGCCCCTACAAGACAAGCCCACACATACAGGGGTAACACAGAGCTCTGATTAACAGAACTGACAATCTATTTCTGTACACTGAGCACACACAAACTCAATAGAGGGACTCCTGCCCAACAGAGCTTGCAATCTAATAATTCACGTATACTGATGCTTCCCATGCAAGACAGGCACACACATAAAGGTGGTCTGGGGGATCCATGCCCCACAGAGCTTGCAATCTAATTAATCTGTATACATTGAGGCTGCCCATAATACGATAAGCATACACAGAGGTACTGGCTGAGTAATATTAATAATTTCAACACTCTGCAAAGGAGTTAAAAACTAAATCGTTCCTGATTGGCTTAATGCAGTTTGTGTTTATCCCCTTACCAAGCTGAAGTACTTGGAGTATAATGTTTGCTGGCTTTGGAGAATACTTGGGGTGATGCACTGAGAGCTGGGTAGGTCACTGGGAATGACAGAGTTAATAATAACCACATCTGCCCTTTGCATTGTAGATATACAGTGTTGACTATGGGAGGCCTTGAACGATGGAGGTTACAATCTAATCTGGGCTGATTTCGGTCCTTGGCAGCTGACTAGTAATGAGCTATTTCCATGTACAGATTGTATTGTGAATATGCAGTATACAGTATTATTAGGTACACGCTATACTTTAACCATATAACCATATATTAATATATATCTACATGCACATAATATATATCGTAAAGCAAGCATTTTCAGGTTACATTAATATTTACATGTACTTAGTGTAAATTGTACTGTGAATGTCTGGGTCATAAAGTAATATTTCCTTAAGTATATTGTATGAAGCATATTTAATAATAGATGTGTATATTGTACTGTATTAGCGTGTTTACTAATAGATGTGTTTATTGTACTGTGTGTAGCATGTTTTGTGTATTGCACTGTGAGTATCTTCGGTTATATAGTAACATTTTCCATATTTTATATATAGCAATCTGACGGGGTATACCAGACTGATAGAACACCGGACCCAATATAACTGCGCCTGGAATAACCCACCCCTCTATATTCAGCGTTTGTACTCTATAATGTGCATATGGGTATTTCTGTACCTAATTCACATTAATAAATCAAACGGTAAATAACAGATACTTTACCCTGGTTAATAAAAAAAAAAAGCAGCTTGTGCACTGACTAGGCCTCTGCTAGAGCAGCCTGCACACTAACAGGGGCTCCGCTAGTGCAGCCTGCACACTGACAGCGACTCTGTTAGTGCAAGCTGCACACTAACAGGGGCTCCGCTAGAGCAGCCTGCACACTGACAGCGACTCTGTTAGTGCAAGCTGCACACTAACAGGGGTTCCGCTAGTGCAGCCTGCACACTGACAGCGACTCTGTAAGTGCAAGCTGCACACTAACAGGGGCTCCGCTAGTGCAGCCTGCACACTGACAGCGACTCTGTTAGTGCAAGCTGCACACTAACAGGGGCTCCGCTAGAGCAGCCTGCACACTGACAGCGACTCTGTTAGTGCAAGCTGCACACTAACAGGGGTTCCGCTAGTGCAGCCTGCACACTGACAGCGACTCTGTAAGTGCAAGCTGCACACTAACAGGGGCTCCGCTAGTGCAGCCTGCACACTGACAGCGACTCTGTTAGTGCAAGCTGCACACTAACAGGGGCTCCGCTAGAGCAGCCTGCACACTGACAGCGACTCTGTTAGTGCAAGCTGCACACTAACAGGGGCTCCGCTAGAGCAGCCTGCACACTGACAGTGACTCCGTTAGTGCAAGCTGCACACTGACAGCGACTCCGTTAGTGCAAGCTGCGCACTGACAGCAACTCCACGCAGTCAGCCTGCACTCTGACAGTGACTCTGTGATGGCAGCGTGTGCACTGATAGCCGCTCCGCAAGGGCACCCTGAGTACGGCCATTGTCTTCACAAGTATAGCCCACGTACAGACAGTACTGGACATGTAGCAACATGCCAGGGAAGTACTTTATTTTAATTGTAATATGTAAAAGGGCACTAAAGCAGATTCGTTTGTTGAAGTGCTTTATTTGTGAAGTGTGTCCTTTTTTTTTCCATCTTCAAAAAAAAAAGTGCAGCTTTCAATAGAAATTGACACTTTTATACATTAACCTCTGAAACTGCTATGTTTACAGCAGAAAGGGTTAATCCTAGATGAACCTGGCACCCAGACCACTTCATTGAGCTGAAGTGGTCTGGGTGCCTATAGTGGTCCTTTAAATCACATTGTTTATGCAGCCCTGGTCACACCTCCCTGCATGTGACTTGCACCGCTTTACTAAACACTTCCTGTAAAGAGAGATCTATTGTTTAAAATTCCTTTATTGCACATTTTATTTAATTTTGAATTTCTCATCTAATGTTTTGTTAAATAGCCTGCTAGATTAAAGTTCAATTAAGAGAGCAGGAGATAAAAACTTCTAAAGCAAGTAACATCTGATTGAAAATAAAATAATTTTTTAATTGAGGCTGTGATAGGGGAGATGTGACTGGGGCTGCATAAAGAGAAACAAAATTGATTTAATTCCTAAATGGCATATAATTGAACAGTAAAACGGCAGGGGCATGATCTGTACACAAAAACTGCTTCATAAAGGTAAAGTTGTTTTGATGTCTATTGTGTCCCTTTAAGTGTCAGACATGACGCTCTTTATGTCTAAAAATTAAAGGTTATTTTTAAAATCTGTATGATAACCAAATTAAAAGAAATCTCTCCTTCTGTATAGGAATACACTCTTGATCTTAGAGCAATGGCCATCCTATGGGCCTGAATAGGAAGGGGGGTTCATTGTGTGTTTAGTGGGCAACACACTAGCAGAGGGGTCAATAATCAGCAGAGTGAAATGAGAGTTGTGGTTCTCTTAGGAGAGTGAGTGGGTGGGATGATACTTGTTAATCAGTAGAGAGTGTGAGTCATACCTCCCCAGTGTCCCTATTTAGGAAGGACAGTCCCTATTTTGGTCCCAAATTCCTCTGTCCCTTTTTCAATCCTAATGTCCCTCTTTTCTAGGAGCTCCATATTGTTAGTGTGTCTGAGTGCTCCACAGCAATAAAACTCCCAGTAATGTGTCTTTAAACTACAATAATCGTGTTAGAAATCAGTTTGTAAATAAAACACAATGTTCTTGTTCTAAATAGTTTAGCTGTGTAAATTGTTATTAGTAGGTCACCTAAAATGTTTCAGAACAGCCCCACCCCTAGCGACATCCACAGCCACACCGCTAGAATTAAAGAGTTTGTGTGAAATGTTTGGAGGTGTGCTGTGAGTGGAGGTAGGATGGCACTTCTTGATCAGTAATAAGTGTGATTGAGGCAGTGAGTTTTTGAGTAGTAGTGACATTGAGTATTTATTATACGTGACTGATGGTCGAGCCTTAGGGTAACTTGTGATACTGCTATCAGGAATACAAAGACTTCTCTTATTTTGTTTCCTTAAAGTATGGAGGCCTGTAGAATATCCACCCCATGTATAGTAAATATAATAAAGAATCCACCTCATGTATAGTAAATATAGTAAAATAGTCATCCCATGTATAGTAAATATAGTAAAGTATCCATTCCATGATTAGTAAATACCAGATACATATACATTCTTGTTCCATCGAGATTTAGTGGTTCAGCTCTTGCCCCCCCCCCCAAGGGTGGGTGGGGTCATGTGACAGTGAATTCAGTTACTTGGCGCTTGAATTTCATGTTGGATGTCACTTATTAAATGGCCACCGTGTTCAGTCCTATGCAAGCTAGGCGACATCAAGTGAGACCAACTGCGTGGCTGCGCACAGTAACCTTAACCTCAACAGTTACTTTAATTCTACAAAGTTATAATAGGTGTCATCTCGGGGTTTGCAGACACCTCTACACTGGTTGCAAAACAGCGTTATTGATGAACTTGGGATTTGTGGAGCAGTGAGAGCAATTTAGCTTGCTGAAGAGCTGTACATGTAAGGCACTTTTATAAATTAACCTTGTTACATCTTCCTGGCTGTCAATCAGACAACTGGTCCTGTTACTTCCTGGTTTGGTTAGCTCAGGCAGCAATTGCCCAGAGCACCTGTCTTACAAAGACTTCTCAGTGAGCTGCATTGGAAGTCTGTGATTGGGCAGCCACAGAAAGTCTGGGTGGGGTTAGAAGGGGAGGGCTTACAAAGGCTGCAGACAAGACATCTGCAGCCTTTTCAAGCTGTGTTTAGATACCCCCAATGAAAAATGCATAATTAAATGCTTGTATGATTTCATTGGGGGTATGTCTGATAAGCAGTACATTTTAGTTTTTTGTTTTTTTATTTAGGTGGTGAAGTGTCTCGAAACAGAACACTCTAAACACAAAAAACACTTCAGTCCAGTGTAGTAGTTATGGGGCCATGGTGTCCTGGTACTCCCCTGGGGTAAGTAGTCATATTGTGTGAAAACAGGATAGAAACCTTTGAGCATATTAAGGTAATTAATAATGTTCAAACTGAAAGCATTTTTCAGACAAAGAAAGAGTGTTTAATCCATGGAAAATACTTCCAGTGGAGATAGTAAAAGCCAGGACTGTGAGAGAATTCTAGAATGTGTTGAACTTTTAAGTCTCTACTAAGAACTATTTAAATTTACTATATTCTCATTTAATAAGGAAAGACATTATGGGTCTTTTGGTACTAAGCTGTCATTAACCTCTTCGCTTCTCAAAAATAAATAAAAATAAGAGGTAGAATTGATCCCCTAAATTGCTCTTCCTAATACTGAGCTGATATTTGAAAATATCACTTATTTGTGGAAAGGACTCAGTGTCTCATGATTACAACAATCGATTCTGAAGCCAGCGATTTCTAAGATTAGTGGCCAAGCCATCTAGTGATAGAAAAAAATAAAGCAGGACAGTTTTTTATAAAGGTTTAAATTCCGTGGAATTTAATTTAATACAAGCAAACTAAGGTATTTCTGCACTAACAGCAAATGGTAAGAGGGAACGCCAATGGGAATTTGTAAGGAGAAATAAATAAATGGAGATAGATCTGCACCGTATAGATAACACAAAGGATCGGAGCTGCCAAGCCAAGGGTGTACCACCATTAAAACCAGTCTGTCTAGTTAGTCACCTTAGAATGAGAAGGTGTGGGTGGGATGTACAATGAATGAGTCAATTCAACCAAAGTATATGATCAGCTCCTTTATAGAGTATAGCTCTATCCTGGGAGTGTACTGAAGGCAGGTAATTGGATTACACATAGTATTCAAATAAATAAATCAACAATTATCTCTGAAAGGATGGCTTTCATCACTAAAACCAAAGTCATTCACTCAAGTGAGAATTGTTGGGTATTTTGAGTGAATTTCAAATTTTAAATAAAAATAGCCAAATTAGAAGCATAGCTAACGTAGCAAATTTTTACAATTAAACTATTTTGGCCATAAATTTGAAATTCACTTGAATTAGCGATCGTTATTTTAGTAGGCCTCCTATAAAGCGCTTGTAGCTAATCTATAGAACTACACACAGTATTCTAATCAGGTCTGTCTTTTGATTTGTAGAGTGACTATGATCCAAACTGTTTCTGCAATTTTTACCTCTTATGATATGAACGAGCATTCTATTCACCTTACCTGCTGCGCTACTGCTTTGTTTGCCATATATCAGAGGATCTGAAATAATAATTTACAAATCCTGTTCTTCTTTTGTCGCTATCAGTGAATTGCTGTTAAGTCTTTAATTTTCCTTTGATTTTTTGGATCCTAAATGCCTACATTTAGTATTTAGTAATGGTGTATTTTAGATCTCAGATTTGTCTTAACCCCCTGCTTTTAATATTGCTGCTCATTTTCTTTAACCCTCCCAAAATATCAGCCGTGTTACATATTTACAGATACATTTTGAAAATGAAGGATATCCCGCTTTCAATATTTGTGGTTTCTGCAAATTCACAGGGTTTGACCCGACCTTTAGTTTTATTGGGGGCAACAAGGGTTTACACAAACCTGAAATCGGGCCATGTCAGACACACATTATCTATATATTGCGTGTTGTTTCAGAGCTCGCCCTTCAATCACACTGTAGCTGCTCCTTTAAACGTATTGCATTGTGGGGGATGTTTAGCCCTCCTTATATTTGAGAGCTACTACTATCTCTTTAGTGCTGTCTATGCCAATATTATTAGTACATATTAACTCTAAGAAAAAGAATGCTGAGCTAGTCACAGGCAAAAGGCTGTATAAAGAAATAATGAGTAGCCTTCAGGCAGCTATTAGAGAAAATGGCTTTGTAGGACTTATCGGTGAAAGGAATTAACCCAGTGAGTTCTGAATTTGAGCTACAGTAGGGGGTTGGTGTAACACTTCTTGTGTTGCTTTATAGTCATGTGCCCAAATGTTGTGTAACATCAGTGAATTAGATATGTTGTAATAGTCAGCAACATGCCCCCTTCCTCTTTTGTAATATCACCCAGAAGAATGGCCAGAGGGGGGCGCTTTGGGACCCTGTATCCTGACCAGCTCACGTACCAAACACAGGCCTTAATTAACCATTAGCCAATGGCATAAATATATATATACTGTAAATACTGTGTATTCTTCATCTGTACATAAAGTGTCAGTCTCTGAAATCACTGTATACACGAACTGGTCTATAAATTGCGACAAGGCCATATTTTCATGACGGCTCTGATGTAATGACTGGGTATCATACTATATGAATGGGGTTTATGCCAGACGCTAGTCAGCAGGATAGTATAGATTTTGAAATAACTGTGTTTTTTTTAATTAACCCTTGCCCACGCCCACATCCTGCTTGTGTAAGTATTGTAACCACAGCCTTTCGTGACATGCTGACACGGAATGTCTTGTATAACAGCGTCTGTCAGTGTGCTCTAGTAAGGGAGAGAGGTGAAGTTAATGCAGTTATTATTATTATTGCCATTTATATAGCACCAACAGATTCTGTAGCGCTTTTCAATATTATGAGAGGGGGAATTTAATTATAAATAGGACAATTTTAAGAAAACTTACAGGAACGATAGGTTGAAGAGGACCCTGCTCAAACGGACTTACAGTCTATAGGAGGTGACTTATATTCGTTATTGTACAACGTTATCCCATGTACAGTCTCTGTATAACCTTATTTTTATCACTCGCCGCAAAATATATCTTAACGTTGTTTATTTAATTAAAAACTGAACTTTACCCTTTGGCAGTGAGCATACCAGATAACACTCCATTTCTTCAAGGGTACAAGTAAATTAGGGTCATTGAAAGATGTGAAGATAAAGTGAATTATCATTCCGTATAAAGCAAGGTTTTATTAAATGATGCACCCTACACTGTTGTTTTAATTTTTTTAAATTATTATTTTTTTAATTTTTTTTGTGGGGGTGTAAATATACAATTTTGAGATTAAATACAAAATTAGACAAAAATAAATGTAGTAGACAGAAACAGGCATAGATTAAAGAAAGGAGAAGATTAAAGAAGTCACTAAAGGTCAAAGGTTGAAAAGAAGGTTTAACGTTCACCTTCAGACAAATAAAGAATGAATCCTTGTACGGTGCTAGTGAAATCACCAGCTGGAGACGGGTTAGCGCACCACTCTCAGACGATCATTTTTTACCAAATTTGGATAGACTTATGTGGTTTATCACATCTGGATAAGATATACTGCAGCAGAGAGGCCGCTAGGCTGACGGCGAAATGATTTAACGCAAAGCAAGGGTTACGGCGTCTAAATACGCGTTGCACCATAACCACTGAAATGAGCTGTAAGGATACAATGAGCTGAAATAATATAATGATATGTAATCATACAATTATCTGTAAAGATACAATGAGCTGAAATAATATAATGATATGTAATCATACAATTATCTGTAAAGATACAATGAGCTGAAATAATATAATGATATGTAATAATACAATTATCTAATGATTCTATAAGATGTAATAACACAATGAGCTGTAATAATACAGTGATCTCTAATGATTTTATAAAATTTAATAATCCAATAAACTGTAATAATACAATAAGCTGCAATGATGCCATGAGCTGTACTAATACAATAAGCTGCAGTGATGCAATGAGTTGTAATAATACAATAAGCTGTAATGATGCAATGAGCTGTACTATTACAATACACTGCAATGAGCTGTACTAATACAATAAGCTGCAATGATGTAATGAGCTGTACTAATGCAATAAGCTGCAATGATGCAATGAGCTGTACTATTACAATACACTGCAATGAGCTGTACTAATACAATAAGCTGCAAGGATGTAATGAGTAGTGATGTCGCGAACCTCCCGCGAACGGCTCGCTGCGGTTCGCCATGAACCGTTCGCGGCGAACTCCAGTCAGCTGACACATCCCGGCCAATCTCCAGCAGACCCTCCCTCCCAGACCCTCCCACCTCCTTCAACATGGATGCTGTCCAGGAGGTGGGAGGGTCTGGGAGGGAGGGTCTGCTGGAGATTGGCTGGGATGTGTCAGCTGACCGGAGTTCGCCGCAACTGCGGCAAGCCGTTCGCGGGAAGTTCGCGAACGGTTCGCAACATCTCTAGTAATGAGCTGTACTAATGCAATAAGCTGTGATTTAATGTAAGCAGGGCCCTTACTACCTAATTATAATTATGTCATGTTAACTTATTGTACAGAGCTGCAGACAATGTCGGCACTTTATTAATAATAATACAATGTGAATGTCTTAGAGTGTTACCTAAAACTGTAAAAATTATCCTGTGTGGGTAAACAAACCGTGGCTCTATAAACTCACAGAAACCTTTAGCATTTGTTCTGTTTGCTTTGCAGATAAATATGGGAGAACGCCGGAAGGGAAACCCCTCTAAAGGAGAACAAAAGAAAGCCAGTAACGGACAAAATGAGAATTTGGGCCAATGGGGCCGAGCATGGTGAGAGTTTATATGTCACTTTTATTCCGGGGGCTGGCGAGACATGAATAGCTTTAATATTAGGGACATTTTCACACCCTGACACCTTCAGGGTTTTAACTAAAGTGAGAATTTCCTGGAATTCAAAGTAAATTTAACCCCTTAAGGACCAAACTTCTGGAATAAAAGGGAATCATGACATGTCACACATGTCATGTGCCCTTAAGGGGTTAAAGGGACACTATAGTCACCAGAACAACTACAGCTTATTGCATTTGTTTTGGTGAGTAGAATCATTACCTTCAGGCTTTTTGCTGTAAACACTGTATTTTCAGAGAAAAAGCAGTGTTTGCATTACAGCGTAGTAATAACTCCACTAGATGGCTGCTAGAGGTGCTTCCTGGGGCAGTGCGGCACAGTGTGACTGCCATTCAGTGTATCCACCCTCTGCATGCAGACACTGACCTTTCCACACAGAGATGCGGGGCCAGACTGGGAAAAAAAGGTAACCACATTTTTTAACCACAGCGGCCCACTGAGAGGGGGGCAGGACTAGATAGGGTGTGTTTTGTCATCACCAATGACAAGCGCACCCCATCTCAAAGTGAGATGGGCATACCATGTGCAGAGCTCTGCTGTAGAGCTCTAGCATGATGAAAAGGCCATGTATTTGTTCTGCACAGTGCAAGCAAATTTAATAACATGCTTGCGCAGTGTTTGCTTGAAAAATGGGATACCAGGAGACATAAATGCCAGGAAAGAGTTTTGTGCATGTGTTGGGAGCCTGCTTGTGGAATTGTGTGTGTGTAGAGTGAGCTGATTGTGTGTGGTATTGTGTAAATAGGTTGGTTTCTGTCGTGTTGTGTTTGTGGTGTAATGTAATGTATGTGTGTCTAGGTGCTGTAGAGAGTGTGTGTATAGGGGCATAGTGTATATAGGAGATGTAGCGAGTGTGTGCATACTGGCTTTAGTGTGTGTGTATAGATGATGTAGTAAGTGTAGGGGTAGTAGAAAGTGTGTGTGTTTTCAGGGAATGTAGTATGTGTTTGCTTACATGAAGTCTAGTGTGTGCATAGGGAATCCTGAGTGTGTATGTAGGTGGTGAAGTGTGTGTGTAGGGGTTCTAGTGTGTGTTCGAAGGACCCAGAGTGTGTATAGAAGATCTAGTGTGTGTATGTGTGTAGATGATCCAGAGTTGGGATCTTTGATCTCCTCACCAACCCGTCATGTAGCAGAGTGTCATTTCTTCAGTGTTGTCACATGAAAGGTAAGCCAAGTACCAATAAAAAATTGTCCACAAGTGTCCCTGATCATCCGAGACGCATTTCGCCTTATCATAAGGCTTTTTCAGTCTGATTTGTTTATGGAGATTTCAATGGAATTATGGAGATTTCTATCCAAAGTGATGTAGGAATCAGTAATATACATTAAAAAGTGGGAAAAACAATTAGGAAAAGAAACAGGACATTATTTCGTAATCCAGGGATCTGTTTTATAGTTATTCACTAAGCTGAAACGGGACAAACCCATCTGGACATTGCGCTATCTAGGAATGTCTGGATTTAGCTATTCAGGCTCCAAACGAGTCTGAATTCCGTCCGGATTTTATCCAGACAGTACGCTGCCAGATTCTGAATTCTGGACCTGAGTATTTGAAGTCTGGGGCCAAATTTTTAAAAATCCAAACTAGGAACCCTCAGCAATGCAAGGGTTAAATATGTGGCGACTGGCCAATACTTTAAATAAATCAGAATAAAATCAATATGGGATCAATAGGACACCAATATTAAAATAAGAAATGTTTTTAACCTCTCCATGCAGCGGGCAAATAGTAATTGAAATTATAATTTACTTGCGAAAAGCAAGTGAACGATAATTTGCTTACATGCATCCTACCTGATACATTTGGTTCCTATTTTGGTTCCGGGCACCAAAAGCATCCGGGGGATTGCTGCCAATTAGACCGAATTCCGACCATATTTTGCATTAATTGAGGTCGGAATTTGGTCATTTTCGCCGTGTGTCGGGCATTTGGAGATTTTTCATCTGACGAGCAGTTCAGAATAACTTTAAATATTGACATACAGGGTACCTCAGCTATTATTTGGTTAATAAGGGGTTAATCACTGCGGGTTAAATCATCCACAGTCACAAGAACCAGACCTGCACTAGGTACGTTCTGTGGCTCATTGAAGTGTATTTACTAAATTGTGAGTTGCTTATTTTAAACCAAAATAGCAGAATTCTCAAAATAAACAAATAAAATGACAAAGTTATTCATCCAGGTCAGATATTTTGACCTAACATTTGCAATAACCGTGTCATTTCTGCACAGTTCCTGATTTAATAGATGAACACCTTCACTGCCAGGTGCATGTCTAAGTACATACATATTACTCATAAATACCAGCATTCTACATTTGAAATATTTAGTTAGGCTTTTGAAAAAATAAAGTGATGTTTGTGACCCGCAGTAGCTGGATTACAGTGATTTATTGGGTATGTATTAAAGGGACACTATAGTCACCTGAACAACTTTAGCTTAATTGCAGGGGAATGATCTATACACTAAAACTGCTTTATTTAGCTAAAGTAATTTAGGTGACTATAGTGTTCCTTTAATGTTTGTGTATTTGTATACTGACGGTGTGCTTGCTTACAGGGAGGTAGATTGGTTTTCCTTGGCCGGTGTGATCTTCCTGTTGATGTTTGCGCCGCTGATCGTCTACTACTTTGTGATGTCATGTGACCAGTACCAGTGCTCCCTCACCGCCCCCATCTTGGACATATACACCGGGAAAGCCAAATTGTCTGACATTTGGGACAAGACTCCTCTCATTACGTGGAAAGCTGTTTATATATACGCAGTCTGGGTCTCTTTCCAGGTAAAATGGGAGAATTCAGGCAATTACTTTTCCTAATAGATATTTATCATAAAGAAGGTCTCCGCATGTGTGGGTGTAATTAATTGTAGTTTTTCCATAAAAATATCTGAATATAGAAGTAATTGTAATTTTGTTGTTAAAGGAAAAATACAGGAAAAATATTAAAACAGGAGGGCCCAAAAGATAGCTCCCCAGATGTTTTAAAACTACAGCTTACATGATGCTTTGCGATTCTAAAGGCATTCACACCACTTGAACCTGCAGTGTAAAATCAGACAGGTTAACGGCAGCTAGCGGACGGCACAGACTGACAAGAGAAGATGTTTATTATTTTACAGCAACTTGTAAACCTTATACGCCATCCAGTTCTGATTATCAGCACGGCTCGGCCCAGACATGTAATCTTTTTATTGGCGCTTGGAATTAATGAGGTTTTAAGGTTTTTATCAAGTCTGGTAACTAGTAAAGTAATAATGCAGTATCACAATAAAGCGTGTTTTATTTATGGTTAATTTATATTTAATAGGTTATAAAAAGTTTTGCAATCTGTTTAGGATTAACAAGTAGCACTTTCAGTTTTTTTGTTTCAGTAGAACTCCCACTCTAATGAATCCCAGTACGACATGACTGTTAACAAGATAACATTTATGTTCCAGGTGTTTCTGTATGTTTTCATTCCTGACGTGTGTCATAAGTTCTTGCCGGGATATGCTGGAGGGGTTCAGGATGGATCCCGGACGCCGGCAGGTATGTAGCGGTAACGAGATAAGCCATTGCTATATTGACATAAAGACAGGAGCAGGTCAGAGAGCATCCTTTATTTTTCTTTCCCTTTTCATTGAGTACAGGGTAATTTGTAGGGTTTAGGTAAAATCACCTTACTGCCCGGACTGCTGGCAGACGTGTATAAAAGGGAATAACAACCCACCGGTGTGCGCTGAGTGAGCGCTGCTGAAACACTCTCATTGGTGGAAAAGATCTGAATGAGAGTGTTTGCACTAGATAAACCAATGACAGCATGAGAAAGACACAACATTGGGACTGTCCAGCATGATGTGGGACTCTTGGCAAGTATGCCAGGGCATAGAGCAATGGAGGGGATCTAATTTGCTCTTTATCCCATCATTATGTGCAGCTGATAGGAAAAGAAAACTCAATGCGGTATTTATAAAGATCATAGGTGGGGTTTCCATGGTGACTGCTATAGTCTCTTGAGAAAACGTTCTAATTGATGTTTGTTGTGAAATGCCTGGAATTAACCATTGATGTGCTGGCTCACAGGACAGCAGGAGGGAGGCAGGGGATTACACAGCACTAAAGCTCTTAATTCTTAGTACTTAGTTTTAGGACTTAACTTTGTACTAAAACACTCCAAAGCACATTTCATGTACACGTAACCTTTAACGTTGTATCAGAGAATATTGCTGGTTTGTGTTGTAGTGTAATGAATGCACAATAGGGTGGCCTAAAAGTAAACCCCCGAACCTTGCAAAACTGCAACTCCCATCATTCTGTGTCCACAAGATAGTAGAGGATTGCACTATTACTAAGAGATAGCAGCAGAGTATTGCACTAGTAATAATAAGAGACAGCAGAGTATTGCACTATTATTAATAAGAGATAGCAGAGTATTGCACTATTAATAAAAGACAGCAGAGTATTGCACTATTAATAATAAGAGACAACAGAGTATTGCACTATTATTAATAAGAGATAGCAGAGTATTGCACTATTAATAATAGGAAATAGCAGAGTATTGCACTAATAATAATAAGAGGTAGCAGAGTATTGCACTATTAATAATAGGAGATATCAGAGTATTGCACTATTAATAATAAGAGGTAGCAGAGTATTGTACTATTAGATAAGACCAATAAACCTGTGTCTGACCTCGTTGTTTCTCTCTATAAATGTGCGTTCTGCAGGCATAATAAACAAATATGAAGTGAATGGTCTGCAGGCCTGGATTATTACCCATATACTGTGGGTTGCCAACGCGTACTACTTTCACTGGTTCTCGCCGACTATCATCATCGATAACTGGATCCCACTGCTATGGTGCGCCAACATCCTGGGCTACGCCGTCTCCACCTTCGTGCTGATTAAAGCGTATCTCTTCCCCACGATTGCGGCTGATTGGTAGGTAGTTCATTATATGATTGGTATTTCAGTTAATGTGATTCCGATAGGAACCTGTGAATACAAGCCTATAATAAGCAACAGAATGGTGATATTCAGACACATTTAGACAGCTATTTAGATATATAATTTGGAATCTGGTCCTGGTTGCCACCTATTTACCTATCTGGATATTTGGTTCCTCTTGTCATTAGACAAGTTATTTCACTGTTTACCTACTTTTTGTTTTGTTTCTCGTCTCACTTTATAATTACATTACTGCCATACATCCATAGGTTGGATCATTTTTATTAGTCTTTCATTAAAACTTATATTTTAACATTTACCTCTGGTGTTTCACCACATTCCATTCTTTTCTCTAGTATGTCAGAGGGCTCAAACCTCTTATAGGGTGGTGAATCATCCCCTCTAGACTATATGTTTATAATGGTAGACAATACCTATATCACATACAGTCTAAAGTGAATTAAGATTATTTATTTATGTGAGATGTTTTATGGGTGGAAAGGCTCAGCCCTTATATTGTCCTATATAATAATAAAGACTTATCGCATAACCTTCTTTGTATAGTCTTACATTTATCTTAGGGATTGACTGATCATCGGTCTGGCCGATATTATCGGCAGATATTCTGTATTTTTAGCAATATCAGTATCGGCCAATAATGATATCGATATTGCTGACGAATGCAGTCCAGTGCTGCCATCCGGGTCCTGGGGGGCCCCGCACACTCTTACTTACCTTCCCTGCAGCTCCCCTGTCTAACTCTCGCGAGCACCGCCAGCACACAGGCTGTGAGAGTTAGACAGGGGAGCTGGGAAGGTCCTAAGATTGTGCTGGACCCTCCAGGGAAGGTCATATACCTTGGCCAGGTAAGAAGCAGAGAGGGGGACTAAAACAAAATGTAAATTTTTTAAAATATATATATAAAAAAATAAAAGTTACAAAAATGCCCTCCCCCATTTTACACACATTACATATGTACACAAACAGTCACTGCACAAACACACACTACACAAACACACACACACACTCTGAATTCATTATATACACATTACACAAACACACACACTGCATCCACTATACACACACTAGACAAACACAATGCATTCACTATACACACACTACACACACACTCTGCATTCATTATATACACACTACACAAACACTCACTGCATTCACTATACACACACACACACTACACACACACACACTCTGCGTTCATTATATACACAATACACACTCACTGCATTCACTATACACACACACTACACACACACTCTGCATTCATTATATACACACTACACAAACACTGCATTCACTATACACACTACACAACCACACATTCTGCATTCATTATATACACACTACACAAACACACCCTCTGCATTCATTATACACACACTACACAAAAACTGCATTCACTATACACACTACACAGACACACACACTCTGCATTCATTATATACACACTACACAAACACACACACTGCATTTACTATACACACACTACACAAAAACAAACACTGCATCCACAACACACACATATTCTTAAAAACATTAAAAAAATTCTGACTGGCATATTTTGTGCATTTAACTTAGTAAAAAAAGGATTGTCAAAACAATAAATAACATGTTCAATTAACAGTAGATTCGTGTAGAAATTGTTTATTTTTTTTAAATGGTAAATGTACAGAATATCGGTATCAGTAAGTTATCGGCTATCGGCCTGAAAGTTCACAGGTTATCGGTATCAGCTCTACAAAAAAAAAAATCAGTCGATCTCTAATTTATCTCATTACTCCTTTTATCTCATTGACGTGTCTGAAATAATGCCACACCACTGTCAATGCCACTTAAATGCCACATCCGTGTCAATCACAGAAATAAGGCAACACTGGTGTTAAAGTCACAAAAATAATGCAATGCCATTGTTGCAGCCTCTAAAATAAGGCAACTTAACACTCAAGTAATGTTGCTGCATTGTAGTAGCCACGCAGATGCTACCAACCCAGTAAGGGGGGCTCCGCAAATATCCCGAACCACCCATGCCAGGACTCGGCTGCCTTACCTGCTGGGCTTTTAGATGGAGGTCCGCATTATCTGATGAAAGATGCAGCTCAGCCCTTGGTGGTTATTGAGAGTTAGTGCCAACACCCTTATAAAGAACCAGATATGTGACTTTCACCATCTAATTAATGTTCCTCTTTCTATCCATCAGCAAATTCACCGGGAATTTCTTCTACAACTACATGATGGGAATCGAGTTTAACCCCAGGATAGGAAAGTGGTTTGATTTCAAGCTGTTTTTTAATGGACGTCCAGGAATCATTGCCTGGACCTTAATAAACCTATCGTACGCAGCAAAACAACAGGAGTTATACGGGCAGATAACCAACTCCATGATCCTAGTCAATGTTCTTCAGGTAAGTCTCCACCTGTCAATGCAGCCACAGTGCCAATGAACTGGCACCCAAACGCACACATCTAAAGAGCTCTTACTACTTTATCTTTATCCCACGGATGGAATATCGTATCCCAATAATTATCTGTATTCCGCTATGTGACGGAGGGAATATCGTATCTGTGGGGATATTTATGGGATAATAATAGTAACAGTGAGAATTGCCCACTAATTCAATTCTCAGATCCAAAGATCGTTATCGTAAGTGAAAGGTATTTCATATAATTAAAATCACAATTTTATAAAAATAGATTTTATTTTATAATAACAAATTAATTAATAATAATAATAATAATAATATGTAACATGCGTGACAATAATCAATGAATATCCAGTATAAAATGGTATGCAATACAATGGAATGGCTATACACGTTTCAATGGCTAAACAGCATTTTCTGTCAAGTCTTACACGATTTATAAGGTATCCTTACAGACTGAAAGGAAAACTTTTCACAGCGAAGGGCCATAAAACCCTTGCTAACAGTTAGAATAACTGAATAACCCTTTCAATGCTGGCTAGACCTCCTAGGTAATTAAGATCTATTCTTATGTAATTTTAAATAAAATAACATTTAAACCAGTTCATTAGTCATTTCCTGGAACCATCCAATAAGAGAATCTACCATATTATTACAAAAGCAGAATTTGTTTTTAATTTGCCTAAATAGATCTTTTATCTTATTTTATAGCAAATCAATACACCTGGATAAAAACAGCGGTATGCTAACACGTGATAATATCACATCAATATATAATTATTCTTAATTCCACCTGCAGAATGGAATGTTTATAACTATATATTCTTTAGTTAACTAAGATTTCTTAATATGGAAATCTGACCGTGCTTTATCCAGTCATATCATGCTATTAGTAAATTTTAATTAATTTAAATTAATTAAATGAAACCAGTATAATTACCAGTTGAGTAGATATTTCATCCGATTGGTAGATAGTCTCAGGAACTTATTTGGATGTCTGTAGGTGCATGAGTCATGGTGAAAGGTGGTGTTGGTTAGAAAGTCAGTAAAATTCTAAGTGTTAGTGTTTTAAGAGTAGAGTGTTAGTCTCAGATGTTGTCCTGGGTTTTTCTGCATGGAGGTTGGAGTCCCCAAACTTCCAATTCCTCTCTCCTCTTTTTCCTTTGCATTCAACCTTCTCCCTCTTTGTCTTAACTTTTAAAGGGCCAGACTCTCTGTACGTCATCAGTTGATAACCCAATAGAAGCACTAGAGGTGTGGTTATCTTCCAGATCACAATTTAGGTATTTGTTCTATAGAGGGCAGTCTTGTCCCACTAAACATACCTATCCAGGAAAGAGTTAACTTTTCCTGGTGGCTATTTTCACGTCATTTTGGCCTATCTTGATAGTGGCCATAACTTACGTTTCCTTTCACTTCAAAGGGTTTTCTCTTAGTTTTGTCCAGACTTAGTGTCCCCAATTCCTGCTATAATTTCTGATATGGCAGATCATGAACTAAGTTTAACCTTTTCCGTACAATGGTACCTTATACATATAGACAGTAAAATTAAATTATTTAATCTTCTCTGTCACAAATGTCTGTGTTTAGATTTGATCTATTCCATTAGCATTTTAGACAGTCTATCCAACCCCCGTTCTCCTTATCACTTGGTTTGTATATACTATGCATTCCTTTAGCTCTGTCAAAGTGGTTAGTTTTACAGATAGAAATCTTGTGTCTTTTTGTTAACTTGAAAATAACAAAATGGAGTCTGCTCTGTTCAAAGTGACTCAGAATATACACTTTTAATTTCTATCATAGCACAAGATGTCTGCCGATATAAATACCCTGACATATCCCAATAATTATCTGTATTCCGCTACGTGACGGAGGGAATATCGTATCCCAATAATTAAAACAAAAAGAAGGACCACAAGAGTCCTAAATAGGAGAGTAATGTGAAGAGGGGGATAGGGGTCCCTACCTTTTAATAAGTCTAAAGATACACACATCAGGACAGGTGGGAAGAGGTATAGCAAAAGAGAGTCCTCCAGACTAGACACAGGGAACAGTTACTAAAAAACTGCCTGCTAAATGTCTAGGATCCTAAGAAGCACGCCCTCTAAATCTTCCCAAAACAGGGACCCTAATTGAAAAAAGGGGGTAACTAAAGAAATAGGGGAAGGGAGCAATGAAAAGGGAGATGCCCCAAGGAGTAAATCTTATACAAAAAGCCCCTGTAGAGGTCCACTTGCCCTAGTTACCTCGGCACTGTGATAAATCACCAGTGCCTACCAAAAAGACTCAGTCCCTGCCTGTCAAAGGTAAGTAATAACTGATAAAATAAATTAAATTAAATCAATCCATCAGTGCTACCAAAAAAGTGCAAAACAAAGAAAATAAAATAAAAAGAAGCTCGACGCGCGTTTCAGCGTTTCAACACGCCGTCGTCAGGAGCAGTAAACTTTTGAAATTCCCTGTAGCGATTTAAATACACCTTGTTACAATCTACACAAGATGAAAGACAGCTGTTGTACCCCACGTGTGCTGCCGAAAATACTGTTAGCTTATTGGTCAATTACCTCTTAAGTCCGCCTCTTATCCGCCGCGTCATATAACGTGGTGCTAAAATGAATAAAGGGGCGTAATAATGAGGTTTAGACGATGCCCACGTGGGGATAGTATCGAGTTGATTCATCCACAGGATTTTTTTTTCATTATAATATAGTTTAGAAACCTTATTAGGGTATAAAACTAAAGGAGGGTTTACATAGTGACAACGATATGTAGTTTATAAACACCCAGTGCGCATGCGCGCATACCGGTTAGCGATTGGTCCAATGCCTATCCCTCCTGTCCATCTATCGATTGGATCTGCCACTTGTCAGTCACGTCGTATGACGTGATGCTGAACTGGATCGAGGGGCATAATATTTAAAAAGTGCCCCCAAAAGATCCAAATCGGATAAGTGATTCCGTAAGGATTATTAAGTTAATAGCAGTATAATGATTAAAAGTCCAGTTAGGATCGCTAGATATTGGATAGTAGTAATCACCAGTGGGTGGTCATAAGCTATGGCTGCCCGTTGGTCCATTGTCTCTATAAACCTACCCATCCGCCAGATGCAGTCCTGGCATAGGTAGGTGGGTATAATACAAGAAATAACTGTGAAAAATACCCCCATGGGGTCAACATGAAAATGTACACGAAATTCCCATAGACAGAGACCCAATGTGAACCACTAGGTGACAGTACGATCTTAACATAATTAAATACCCTGGTGATAACTAATACTAAGTAGTATAAATTGAAGATGCTCAAATGTTACCACATGATTCACAATAATAATTAGCCATATCCCCTAGATATATATGTCCAAATAATGGACAGAATTGAATAGCCTAGATAGATAATTGCTATAATATATGTATATTAATATATTGATGTAATGACAGGGGGCTGATTAAGACGTTACAGTAAAAATTCGCAATCCAAAGAAGTGGATGACAAAAAGTCCAGGTGATAAACGTTTGGGAACAAAGGAAGTTTTGCAAAATAAAAAGATCATAATAGTGTGTTTATTTATAATGTGATGTATTTAATCCATCGGGGGACTAATAAAAATTCCCTATAAATTGTTTATATCCAATGTAGAGAGAGAAGATAGAGACAACTTAGACAAGATAGAGATACTTATTTGTATCCCAATAATTATCTGTATTCCCTTACGTGACGGAGGAAATATTGTGTCCCAATAATTATCTGTATTCCACTACGTGATGGAGGGAATATCGTATCCCAGTAATTATCTGTATTGCCCTACGTGATGGAGGAAATATCGTATCCCAATAATTATCTGTATTCCGCAATGTCACGGAGGAAATACCCCAATATGAAGCATTCTAGCTTACTGCAATATGGCCATCATACATTCTTTAACAAAACAATATTTCTAGAACAAATAACATTTTATTGCATTTTATTTAAAAACATTATCTTCTTTTGTACCCATTTAAACCACAGAAGAGTAAAACTATGGGGTTATTTACTAAACACAAAAGTGTAAAGAATTCAAAACTAAATAGCAAAATCTGGGCAAAATAGCACTTGGAAAAATTCTGCTATAGCTAAGCTTATCTATTTTAGCCAAAATTATGCAGTTTGGGTTCCAATTCAATAGTGGATAAACCTTTATGTGTTGCTCTAAGTCTGAAGGGGTTACATGTCACCAGTAAAATTTTTGCGTATATGTATATTATTTTTAATGCTCTGTTTATGCACTGTGTCCCGGCAGGCAATCTACGTTGTGGACTTTTTCTGGAATGAGAGCTGGTACCTAAAAACCATAGATATCTGTCACGATCATTTCGGCTGGTACCTCGGATGGGGGGACTGCGTGTGGCTGCCATATCTCTACACGCTGCAGGTAATTGAACAGAGACTCTCTGCATTTCACACAGTAACCTTGTCAATGGGTCAATTTAGAGATAAAAGCAAATTTCAGCATTATTTTTATAACAATAACTCGTTTCCTAGGTTTGCACTAATCATAATTTTTTATTTCATAATCTATCAGAAATTAAATTAAAACCATACATTAATGTATTTATTGTAAAACAAATAAAAGGCCTCCACAACATTGGTCACCGTTCTTAAATACCTGGATTTTTTTTTTTTTTTTTATTCTTTATTTTTGTTGTGCACAAAAGTAACAAAAAGTCTTGGTGCGCCACAACAGCGACATCAGGAGAAATTGGTAGACCTTTACATTATAAGTTGTGGCATTCGTTAGTCAGGCACATTTTTAGATTAATGAGATCAATATTTCGACAGCTTAGGTTCTCTTTAGTTTAAATGATTTAGCAAGATGCACACGTCAGGTAGGAGTATTCAGAGGAGTGACAAAGAAGGAAAACCTGAAATGTACAATCCTAATATAAACACAACTGTGCAGTTCAATACATGCTAAATATGTGTCTGTAGTGTGACATGAAAGACAGTGCACGTTTTATATTGTTAAAGAGAGCAAGATATAACAGATTGTGAAACCACTGGCAATGATTATTAACAATATTAACATATTATAATCAATGGAAAGAAACTGCTGTGATACTGTAAGCTAAATGCTTAGTTAAGCTTAGTGTCTGCCTTTATGTCTAAATCTTGCTCTAGCGTGTGAGAAGTATTTAGAGTTAACTGCATAATAACCCATAACATTGGCAAAAAGTTGCCCCAGGCCATAGATAAAGTTCAGTGATACTTGGGCTACAAACCCGACAAGATATCAGGGTGTGCTGGCGTTATCTGGTATCAGCTGGGGAAGGCGCCCACATGGATCAGTTCGAGGTCTGTGAGCTGTGGGGCAGGGTGGAATGCATTTCAGCCTATGCCCAGGGTGGGAATGTCTCAATTGCTGGCACAGGTGGCCCTGTCTATGGGGTCCCTGGGCTTGATTCCAGCTCTAGCTGTAGTCAGCGAGGCTTTCTCCTGTGTGGCCTCTTGTAGTGCAGCGTGATCCTTGAGTGGTTGCTTCGTGCCGCTCTGGTCAGAGGTTCTTGGGCCTGATGAGTTGCTTGCAGGTAGGCTTCGCTTGGTGCACATGCTTCTTTGTAGATGGGAGCGAGTGCATGCGTTCAACTGGCATGGCGCTGTTTCCCGCCTTGTCGATCTTTGGTGTCTGCATCGCCGGACGGCCGCCCTGGATGCCCGAGGTTGGTGCCCATAATGGCGTCGTCGGGTAACGGGTCTCATCCAGGAGGCTACTGCTTTCACCGCCTGGTGGTGGGCCATTCCTCGCTCACAGAGCATCGCCCAGAAGCTCTTACAAAGCCGGTCCAGAGCCATCAGGGGATGTGTAGGTGACTGGGTGCTTGTGTTTTTCATATTTGGCCCTTGCTTGGAGGCCATTTTGGTTATGCCTTGACGGTCTTGTTTTCCAGCGGGCTGTGTAATCGTGAGGCCCACCAGCAGTCCTGGTCCGTGTAGCCAGTGGGGACCGGGATTACCCCCTCCGGTCCAAAAAGGGGGAGGGGGGAGTAAGAGATCAATAAGGTCGCTTGAGGGGTCTCAGTGTTGGGGAGAATGGCCGCCTCTCCCTGGCTCCAACCCCAGTAGGCCGCACTTGGCGTTTCGCGCCCCCGGCCCCGACGGGCTCCAGAAAGGTGTCCCTCGATTCAGCCGGGCACCCCCGGCATGGATGGGGTACCCCGGTGTGTTTTTGGGCTATTTATCTGCCAATTTCGCTGTGTTTTCTGCCCGTCGGACCGGAGCTCGCCTCACCCACGTCCGTACAGCTAGATGGTCAGACTCCGCCCCCGATTTTGGATCTTTTTAAGCATATCGCTTAAGAATTTATAAATAACAAAAAAATCAGGCAATTTCTCAGTTTCTATAATTATTGATAAAGCACATATTCTGCAGCAAACTGTATAGTAAAGGAATACTGCAGGCCCCGCGACGCCTTCATCTCATAGGTGCCATGGGCCCATTTAACCCTGCTGTTCTGCAGGATTACAATATTTACATTGCAGGGTTAAAGGAACTCTGTATCTGTATTCCTAACGCTACAGCACTAAGGCCCCTTGTTATTTAGCCTCCCCCATGTGTAAAAATAAATAAAATTTAAACAAATTCCTGAGCTTTTCTCCAGCGCCGAGACTGCTTCGGCACTGCCACCACATGCTCCTTGGGTTGAGGACGGGACCAATCCATAGATAATGGGCCAATTCAATGCTCCTCCATAGAGAATCACTGTATTCAAGGACTCTCTATGGCCGACTGTGACAGCACTGCACATGACATGTTACGGTATGAGAACCAGGCTTCCAAGTTTAATATTGGGTTTTGGGGCTAGGACATGGTGGCCAGCACTGAAGGCACTTTAAAGACTTCAAGAAGAAGTTGTTAAAGTTCCCACAGTGTTCCTTTATCTTGCCTCTAGTATCTGTCTCCTGTGAAATTGCTCAGTAAAATTCTGCTATCTCAGGAGACCATCTGATTGACGCAGTGTGGCGATTTGCCATGCATGCGCTTTAGCCTCCCAGTGCTTTCCTACGAAAAAACATTAGATTGGCTGAGATCATCAACAATGAGGTGGAGCTGGAGCAGGGAGCCGGCACTGTGAGGAAAAGTGCTAAACAGTGACTGGGGCATTGTAGCATTAAGAGTAAACATTTGTATTTCTAAGCTTATAGTGCTCCTTTAAACATACAGTTAACGTGGAAGTGCAATTAATCCAGAGAGAAGACTGATTCTTGCACATTCTGTTCAGTAAAACAGAAATTGCACATTTTAGGCCAAAGTAGCCAGTGTAGAAAAATTCCTAGAGTCTGTTAATTTTCCAATTTGGCTGAATATTTCCAAAGCCCTTGCCAGTTCTCGGTTTAGTAAAGAACTGTGTTAGTGTGTGCTAACACTATGCTATACAAACATGATATGGCACATGGCAGCTGAAGAACAGAAGGTGGAACAGTTTTAGTGAAAGCTGGGGGGGGGGGTGATAATTTTTAGGGAGCAGGGTCAAGGCTCAGCGTATGATCAGATGAGATGTGGATGGGCAGCCCTTAGCAAGTCCTGTAGGTAAGAATTATGAGAGGAGAGGAGGTGGAACATATTTATCTATTACTAAGGAAATATAAATATGCTAAGATCCAGTCAAAGCATAGGAGTTAATTAATGGAACAGCCCATTTTTCATTTGTTGCCTCAAGTGATTGTTGCTTCATTAAGATTTCTGGCCCCTCCCCCCACACCTTTTTTTAATAAAAAACAATTACAGGTAAAATAAGCCTTCACTTATCTCTAAATCAGCGCTGACATGGTCTCCTCAGGGCATCCTGCCGACATTCCAGGCTTCATTACATTTTGTTTAGTCAAATGCTTCTCATAGAGAGGCATTGTAGACTTAATGTCCACGCACGGCAAACGCCACAATGTGCCAATGGAATACTTGTCACAGAAAAGCACTGAATGTTCGACGGACTCTTACAATGTGAGAGGATGTACAACTCCAAGAATCAAGTTTCACTCAGTTCTAGACACAGAAGCACCATGAAAGTGCAGTGATGCCCAAAAGGTAGATGGTTTATAATAACTTCCATGATGCTTTGTCATTCTATAGCAGTCTAAAAGCATGCAAAGCATCATGGGAGTTGTAGTTCTACAAGAATCGTTGGTCTACCTCTTGGGTACCACTGATTTAGTGGCTATCAGAAAGACAGCAACTGGAGGTGTGTTTTTACCCACAATGTAAACAATGACCTATTGCAGAAACAGCGATGTTTTACATTACGGGAGCTGCTCTGAGATGAAATTATCTCGGTGCTTAGAGTATCCCTTTAAGGGCAAAATGTAAATAAGTTCATTTTTGTATTTGTGGCAGTGATACTTGTAGTAGTGGTAGTGATAATTGCAAAATAGTTATTTTTGCTGTTTGTTTTTTGCAGGGTCTGTACCTAGTGTATAATCCGGTGCAACTTTCCACACCAGCAGCGGTAGGAATTCTCTTGTTTGGTTTGATTGGATACTATATCTTCAGGATGACCAACCACCAGAAAGACTTGTTTCGACGTACCAACGGAAACTGCAAAATCTGGGGCCAAAAGCCAAAATATATTGAATGTTCATACACATCCGGGGATGGCAGGCGTCATTACAGCAAACTGATGATTTCTGGGTTCTGGGGGGTGGCTCGGCATTTCAACTACACCGGAGACTTGATGGGGTCTTTGTCTTACTGTCTGGTGTGTGGGTTCGACCATCTCCTGCCTTATTTCTACATTATATACATGACAATCTTACTTGTACATCGCTGCATACGAGACGAGCATCGCTGCTCCAGCAAGTATGGCAAAGACTGGAAACTGTACACAGATGCTGTGTCATATCGTCTAATACCTGGAGTATTTTAAGATTCCCTTAGTTGGCGATGAAACCGATCAGCTCCCCCAAAGGCTGTTTGATACATTTTGGACAATAACTACTTTCTTGTAAAGCATTTTTGGTCTATCACACCTCGTGTGATAGACCTCTTGGACCTGTGATTCTAGAAATGAATGTAAATTGTACTTTTTAAGCGCACACCAAGTTCTGGATTCCCTTACCTATACATTTCCTTTTAGCAAACCAACAGAATTTGTTCTAAATAAAATGAAAGTTTTCCAGTTGTCCCAGTTTGTTCCTTGCTGTTGGAGATGCAGGCAGGAGACTATCAGAAAATGGATTCAGGGTGTATGTGACGTGATTTGACACTTGAGTCCGTAGATATGAAAATACTCTATTTTCAAATTAAACATTTAATTGCGAAATGTAAGCTTTTTTCATTTGAAAAATCCTCCAAATGAATTACAGTCACAACTTTTGCGACTTTATTATTCTGTGTTCTTATATGTTAACATTTATAATTGCAAAGCCATTGTTTTTTATTCATTTATTTTCGTCCTGCGTCCTAACTTGAGTGCATCCTTTTGTTGCAAGGCATTAAATCTGTATTCGGCAAGTGCGGTCAGTTTAGGATAGCAATCTAATGTCAAATCTCCAATTAATAATGATCTGGTCAGCTCACGTCTTGCAGAGACAGGAAGATACAAAACGGAATGGGGATAGAGGATATTGTTCAGAAAATAAGATATCCCAAATAAACCCATGTGTAAATAGGAAGACTAATTACAAAGCCAGCCACATGCAAATCAGGAGATTAGACAGAAACTACTCTCTGGATGGTCAGTACATAAAGCATACCACTACAGAGGTAACATGAGTGAATACAATGTCACTATATACAGGATCAGGGAAATACAGCAAATTCAGGTCTGAGAAAAGACCTTTATAACAGTATGTGTAATGTGTGGACCATGCTCTGCTTTAGATTCTAACTTTAACTTTCAAATCTTGGTGCTAGACCCACTCATGGACCTCCTCGTGAGCCCTATACCCAATAAACCCCATTCCTTTAATGGCCCATTAACCTGTCTCCTAGCCCTTACAATGACTCTCAGTCCTTAGCATAATAACTACTAGCCAACTACCGCCACTCAACCTCTAATATACCAACTACTACACTATCATCCGCTACCGCCATTCAACCTCTAATATACCAATCATTACACTATCATCCCCTACCGCCATTCAACCTCTAATATACCAACTACTACACTATCATCCACTACCGCCATTCAACCTCTAATATACCAACTAGTACACTATCATCCGCCACCGCCATTCAACCTCTAATATACCAACTACTACACTATCATCCGCCACCGCCATTCAACCTCTAATATACCAACTACTACACTATCATCCGCTACCGCCATTCAACCTCTAATATACCAACTAGTACACTATCATCCGCCACCGCCATTCAACCTCTAATATACCAACTACTACACTATCATCCTCCACCGCCATTCAACCTCTAATATACCAATCATTACACTATCATCCCCTACCGCCATTCAACCTCTAATATACCAACTACTACACTATCATCCACTACCGCCATTCAACCTCTAATATACCAACTACTACACTATCATTCACTACCGCCATTCAACCTCTAATATACCAACTACTACACTATCATCTGCCACCGCCATTCAACCTCTAATATACCAACTACTACACTATCATCCGCTACCGCCATTCAATCTCTAATATACCAACTACTACAGTATCATTCGCTACCGCCATTCAACCTCTAATATACCAACTACTACACTATCATCCCCTACCGCCATTCAACCTCTAATATACCAACTACTACACTATCATTCACTACCGCCATTCAACCTCTAATATACCAACTACTACACTATCATTCACTACCGCCATTCAACCTCTAATATACCAACTACTACACTATCATCCACTACCGCCATTCAACCTCTAATATACCAACTACTACACTATCATCCGCTACCGCCATTCAACCTCTAATATACCAACTACTACACTATCATCCGCTACCGCCATTCAACCTCTAATATACCAACTACTACACTATCATCCGCTACCGCCATTCAACCTCTAATATACCAACTACTACACTATCATCTGCTACCGCCATTCAACCTCTAATATACCAACTACTACACTATCATCCACTACCGCCATTCAATCTAATATACCAACTACTACACTATCATCCACTACCGCCATTCAACCACTAATATACCAACTACTACACGATCATCCACTACCGCCATTCAATCTAATATACCAGCTACTACACTATCATCCACTACCGCCATTCAACCTCTAATATACCAACTACTACACTATCATCCACTACCGCCATTCAATCTAATATAGCAACTACTATACTATCATCCACCACCGCCATTCAACCTCTAATATACCAACTACTACACTATCATCCAACAGCGCCTTTCAACCTCTAATATACCAACTACTACACTATCATCCGCCACCGCCATTCAACCTCTAATATACCAACGAATGCTTCAAGTGGTTTCCCCAAATTCAACTGAAAGTACAACTTCATACAAGCTGCATGCTGCAGTCACATTATCTGTTTAACCACTTGCATGCTGCAGTGACTTTATCTGTTTACCCCTTGCATGCCCCAGTCATGTTATCTGATTAACCCCTTGCATGCCCCAGTTATGGTATGTGATTAACCCCTTACATGCTTCAGCCTTATCTGTTTAACCCCTTGCATGCCCCAGATATGGTATTGCTGCAGCCATGTTATCTGATTACCCCTTGCATGCTTAAATTGGGTTATTAATCCCCAAATTCAACTGAAAGTACAACTTCATACAAGCTGCATGCTGCAGTCACATTATCTGTTTAACCCCTTGCATGCTGCAGTGACTTTATCTGTTTAACCCCTTACATGCACCAGTCGTGCTATCTGATTAACTTTTTACATACTATAATCATGTTATCTGATTAACCCCTTGCATGCTGCAGCCATGTTATCTGATTAACCCCTTACATGCCCTAGTTATGGTATCTGATTAACTCCTTGCATGCTGCAGCCATGTTATCTGATTAACCCCTCACATGCTGCAGCCATGTTATCTGATTACCCCTTGCATGCTTAAATTGGGTTATTCATCCCCAAATTCAACTGAAAGTACAACTTCATACAAGCTGCATGCTGCAGTCACATTATCTGTTTAACCCCTTGCATGCTGCAGTGACTTTATCTGTTTAACCCCTTACATGCACCTGTCGTGCTATCTGATTAACCCCTTACATGCACCTGTCGTGCTATCTGATTAACTTTTTACATACTATAATCATGTTATCTGATTAACCCCTTGCTTGCTGCAGCCATGTTATCTGATTGACCCCTTACATGCCCCAGTTATGGTATCTGATTAACCCCTCACATGCTGCAGCCATGTTATCTGATTAACCCCTTGCTTGCTGCAGCCATGTTATCTGATTAACCCCTTACATGCCCTAGTTATGGTATCTGATTAACCCCTCACATGCTGCAGCCATGTTATCTGATTAACCCCTTGCTTGCTGCAGCCATGTTATCTGATTAACCCCTTACATGCCCTAGTTATGGTATCTGATTAACCCCTCACATGCTGCAGCATGTTATCTGATTAACCCCTTGCTTGCTGCAGCCATGTTATCTGATTAACCCCTTGCTTGCTGCAGCCATGTTATCTGATTAACCCCTTACATGCCCTAGTTATGGTATCTGATTAACCCCTCACATGCTGCAGCCATGTTATCTGATTAACCCCTTGCTTGCTGCAGCCATGTTATCTGATTAACCCCTTGATTGCCCCAGTTATGGTATCTGATTAACCCCTTGCATGCTGCAGCCATGTTATCTGATTAACCCCTCACATGCTGCAGCCATGTTATCTGATTAACCCCTTGCATGCCCCAGTTATGGTATCTGATTAACCCCTCACATGCTGCAGGCACAGCTCTGATCACAGCCCCGGTACTCCCACTCTCAGAACTCTCAGCCAGCTCCAGGATACAGCAATGCTCACTAGTCCCCGCCCTCTGACTGGGTGATGCGGAGGGGGCGGGGTCACAGCGTTTCGCCCAATCAGAGCTCACCGGCCGGAAACCAGGAAACAGCGCGAGAGACCAGGAAGAGAGCCAGGGGCCCCGCACTATGAGCTCCCCGGTAAGTGCCCCCCCCCCCTCCCCTCACCCCCCTTTATTAAACTTTCATCAGAGCATTAACCCCCTGCTCCCCATAACCAACCCAACACCATCACCGTCACACAATGCCATTATTACCCCATAGCTAACCCCCACTGCCATTATTACCCCACAGCTAACCCCCACTGCCATTATTACCCCATAGCTAACCCCCCTGCCATTATTACC